CACCAGACATTAAGACAAATCCCTAGACATGGACAGAGGGAGGAAAACAAACTATCACCCTGGGTTTAAATAAAGGGTTCAGTTCGAAATTCCCCGAAAGTTACTCAGGTCGATAAGCACCTGATGAAGCCCGGAGGGCACAATGGAGGAAACGTTGTGACAACAACAACCAAGACAACAGCATTAATATGAATGTAAATAATGAAAAAATAAAAAGGTTTTGAAAACTCATCCAAAATATAGATTTGTAACTATTTCTTCAGGATAGCTGTCAGCAAGTGATTCAACGTGTAACTATAGGGGACAGTGATTATTCAGGAGCGTTAGGACATCGCTATAATTTTAAAGCATTGCCATTATCTGTTGTAACCTAGGGAAGGTTACTGAATAGAATAATCACACAAAGGTTGGTAATGAACGATAATACTTAGGACAAGAACAACACATTTAAGATTCGCCAGCGGCGCGTAGAAGAAGTAGTCAACAAATGAATTTCACAATGAATCACCAACTGCAGGATATTTACCAACTGCCCCACGTGGTCAGATGTGGCACAAGGCCGAATTTAATGTGGGGTATCCAAGCACGTAGGCTCGGCCAAAAATTACCCGTAGACCCGGTATAAAACGGTGTCGGGTAGCTGTTTCTTGAGACGAGACTCTGCCCTTCGACAAAGTCTCGTCTGGTTATCCTCTTTGCCCGGAGGCAGAGAGTTTGACCAGCACAGCTGGAGACGAATGTTAAACTGCAGACTAACATACAGTATTTACGACTGTATTTATGTGAATGGGGACATACCCATTATCGTCCGTAGGTATGCTACATTATCAATAGTTGCTGATTCCACAGGCGGTAGACTGCGAAATAACATGGCTAAATGCTACCATCTATTACGATCTTGAAAAAAAAAATTTTTTAAATTAATTTTAAAAATTAAAATATATCCTGAGCAAACTTATTGAGCATTCGCTACTTATTAGCTTTTTATATTAAATTTCACTTAGTACAAGTTAAGAGAGCAACACAACTTTAGTTAAAATGGTTATGATGAATAAGGTGTGGTAGGAAGTGAATGACGAGGTTGTAGGAAGTGAATGACGAGGTGGTAGGAAGTGAATGACGAGTTGGTATGAGTGAATGACGAGGTGGTAGGAAGTGAATGACGAGGTGGTATGAGTGAATGACGAGGTGGGAGGAAGTGAATGACGAGGTGGGAGGAAGTGAATGACGAGGTGGGAGGAAGTGAATGACGAGGTGGGAGGAAGTGAATGACGAGGTGGTAGGAAGTGAATGACGAGGTGGGAGGAAGTGAATGACGAGGTGGGAGGAAGTGAATGACGTGTTGGTAGGAAGTGAATGACGAGGTGGGAGGAAGTGAATGACGAGGTGGTAGGAAGTGAATGACGAGGTGGGAGGAAGTGAATGACGAGGTGGTAGGAAGTGAATGACGAGGTGGGAGGAAGTGAATGACGAGTTGGTAGGAAGTGAATGACGAGGTGGGAGGAAGTGAATGACGAGGTGGGAGGAAGTGAATGACGAGGTGGGAGGAAGTGAATGACGTGTTGGTAGGAAGTGAATGACGAGGTGGGAGGAAGTGAATGACGAGGTGGGAGGAAGTGAATGACGAGGTGGTAGGAAGTGAATGACGTGTTGGTAGGAAGTGAATGACGAGGTGGTAGGAAGTGAATGACGAGGTGGGAGGAAGTGAATGACGAGGTGGGAGGAAGTGAATGACGAGTTGGTAGGAAGTGAATGACGAGGTGGGAGGAAGTGAATGACGAGGTGGGAGGAAGTGAATGACGTGTTGGTAGGAAGTGAATGACGAGGTGGGAGGAAGTGAATGACGAGGTGGTAGGAAGTGAATGACGAGGTGGGAGGAAGTGAATGACGAGGTGGTAGGAAGTGAATGACGAGGTGGTAGGAAGTGAATGACGAGTTGGTAGGAAGTGAATGACGAGGTGGGAGGAAGTGAATGACGAGGTGGGAGGAAGTGAATGACGAGTTGGTAGGAAGTGAATGACGAGGTGGGAGGAAGTGAATGACGAGGTGGGAGGAAGTGAATGACGAGGTGGGAGGAAGTGAATGACGACGTGGTAGGAAGTGAATGACGAGGTAGGAGGAAGTGAATGACGAGGTGGGAGGAAGTGAATGACGAGGTGGTAGGAAGTGAATGACGAGGTGGGAGGAAGTGAATGACGAGTTGGTAGGAAGTGAATGACGAGGTGGGAGGAAGTGAATGACGAGGTGGTAGGAAGTGAATGACGAGGTGGGAGGAAGTGAATGACGAGGTGGGAGGAAGTGAATGACGAGTAGGTAGGGTGTGAATGACGAGGTGGTAGGAAGTGAAGTTTTTAATGATGACAGAGGAATTATCCTAGCTCTCCACTTCTGTTTTGGTTTTTCTCTACTTTTTTTACCATGCATCATATCCTGAAGACGTTAGTATCAAAGAGTTGCTGCGGATGGAATCAAATATTGGAAGAAATTGGTTTAATTTCTAAGAGTGGCTATTACTTTCACGTTGCCTATCAATTTGTGATCTGTGATAATGTACATCATATGGTTTTGGAATGTTTCAGTTTGAACTAAAGGTTTTTGAGTTCCTATCACAAACTCTAAACCATGTAAAACAACAGGAAGAATGTTTATATCATCGTTTTAGTGTGGCTTGGTACTCTGTTGATTGCTGTAACATTATGTAACCCTTTAAAACCTAAGTGGATCAAATCACAACATTTATATAGCCGTGTAAGTAGATTACTACCAAAACATTTACAATAAAAAATATAACGGCACCTAGGGAGATGTCGGAAGAACGTAAACGAAGATTTTATATTCTACAAAGAGAAAGTGCTAACAAAATCTAGAAATGTGCTACATGCTTTCTCCCCGATTCTGAAATGAAAAGCTAGTGGATGTTAAAATGTCTTTATTCTCAAATCCGGCACAGCATATTACAAGTGGCTGTGCCTACCCACAGGTCAGGAAAGCATTTTCTATTAGTGGCGTCTACCTGAGGAATGTTATCTGTGTAGATTAGGTTTCGCTAAATGACTTTTAAGGGCTACATAACCAACCAACAGCGGTGCACACTAATTACGGAAGAGGAAGGAAATTCTTAGTAAACTAGAAAGATTTGATTTTTCCTTCATTCAGGAAAAGTCTAACGAAACATAGAATTGATGATTCTCCATGGTAGTCGTCGATATACGCATAAATAGTGTTACTAACACGGCAATAAGAAAGGAAACATGGACATTACATGTTGAAACTTTGAATTAAAAATTCTCAAAAGCTCGTTGCTAGAAACGGAGATTATAGTGGATTTCTAAAAATTCCAGCTCGCGAAAAGAATTCTCATTTAACAGACGTCTGGCATATTTTTTTTTATTTTCCAATAATTGAAATAAGTGGTCATTTATGAATTTGCCTTCATGTTAAGACTAATCGATTTTTAAGCCCGTAAAATGGCTGCTAGTAATTTGTCTCCTCTCACCTTTTCTATTCTAAATTCTTTTAAAATAATATTTTCCAATTCTTTTCTTTTTAAATCATTCTTTGTCGCTTTATGGCTTCATAAAAGAAAGGATGAAATAACAAGCAAGAAATCACTTTGCCTTAATGCAATGTTTATCATATTGGCAGTAATAGCTGCAGATCTTTTTATTACCTGCTTCTAGCATTTAATATTCAGTTATTTTTAAAAGCAACATTTCAGGGGAAAGCGAAAAGGGAAAAAAGATAGATAGATAGATAGATCGATAGATAGATATGAGCAATGATAGATAGATAGATAGATAGATAGATAGATATGAGCAATAATAGATAGATAGATAGATAGATAGATAGATAGATAGATAGATCTTTTTATTACCTGCTTCTAGCATTTAATATTCAGTTATTTTTAAAAGCAACATTTCAGGGGAAAGCGAAAAGGGAAAAAAGATAGATAGATAGATAGATAGATAGGTATGAGCAATGATAGATAGATAGATAGATAGATAGATAGATAGATAGATAGATAGATAGATAGATATGAGCAATGATAGATAGATAGATAGATAGATAGATAGATAGAAAGTCAGATAGATAGATAGATAGATAGATAGATAGAACGAGATAGTAACAAAGATAACGCATCACACATAAATAGAATTACGCATGTCAATAAATATGAGAAAGAAAAAAATGTACATCTGCGCACATCAAATTAATCGTTTCCTTATAAGGAAACATTCGGCATTTATTGACCGAGCAGTCGGTACTACTCTCGGTTGAAATTTATAAAATCTTTCTATTAAAGCAATTTTTCAGGAAATAGCTTTCTCAACTCTATCGTTATTGCTCTCTCCATTATTGATGGGTACTCCCTTCCAAACCTTTTGTTTGAAGTAATGTGGAATATCAACATCTTGATTATTCCATTATTTTCTCTTCAAGTTACATGTGCTATCCATTTTAGTTGTTGCTGCTGTTGAAAGTCTGCAAGTGATATTGATTCTGTTGTAATGCATTATATGAAATTACATGCATACATCTGCATACTATATCAAAGTAAGAATTATTTCAATGGCCATTTGATAAGTGAGGCACAAGGCCGCAACAGGTGTTATTATGTTAGCGAACTGGTCTTCAAGAGAAGCTTGAAAATCAGCGCTCTACTGTTGGCTCTTTACTGAGTTAAATCAGGTATTAAACTGCAGTAGTAGGTCATCTAGTGATGATCAAAATCACTACACTAATGAATTGTTTTTCAAAACGAGCTTCCTAACCATCGTACTACGGGCGGCACCCAATCTAAATTGGTTATTAGAATGTATATGAGAGATAAATGGGAACTTTAACGTGGTGCAATGGTTAGCAAGCTTGCTAGATCAATTACGACTGAATAGTGATTTCAATCCTCATTGAGTGCCCCATAATTTCGGCCTTGTGCCACATCTAAGCTACGCTTCGAAAATCGCCATATGAGAGAGAAAGAGACAAAAGGTGTTGTTGTGTGTATATGCGAGAGAGAGAGAGAGATAAAGTGAAAGAGAGGGAATGAGAAAGAGAGACGGAGAGAGAGAGCGAGAGAAAGATAGAGCGTGTGTGGGAGAGAAAGAGAATATATACTGATGTATTAGAGAGAAAGAAGAACGCTTAATTATACAGTGGCAAACAGTAGAATCGATTCCTCTAGGTAAAAAAAATAATAAAAAATAAAAACAATTTGCTTAATTTTTACTAAGGACCTGTAATTATTTAACAATTTACGAAGAAAGAGGGCTTGGAAAATCTCACACGCAGAGGACATATTGACGAAAAGAGGAACAAAGCAAACAGTGAATAACATGCCAAACAAGTTTGCGTAAATGGATGACAGAATGTGAACAGGGAGATATAGTAAGTGGTTAAATATTGCTTAGTGCCACAAGTGATAGGAAGTCGTGGAGAGTCATGATTATCCATGCCCTAAAGGTAAACGGCATCTAAAAGAAAAAAAAGACTATTAGGAGTAGTATACTGGGGTCATTTAGGACTGTAATGAAAGCTGTTGTATTCACATGGACTCAGTACGCGGAAAGATACAGGCCTGAACGTATCGAGATAAGCCAGGCAAAAGTTATGAGCCACGAGAGGAAACGTAGAATTAACTGCTTTTATTGGCGAAGAGAAAACTAAAATTGCACTAAATAAATGTATTTATATATTTAGATACATTAAAGTCTCAATCATTATCTAGTATGGCGCCCATTGGCACGGCGTAGAGACACAATTCGACGCGGGATGGAGGAATAAAACTTAAAATTGCTTCATCAGAATATTTTCTGTCATTCTTCTTGACGGTAAACTCAAAGCTCTTTCAAATTCTTTGATGTTTTAACCATCTCCACATAAGTTCGATTAGGTTAAAGTATTATTTAACCATCTCCACATGAGTTCGTGAGTTCGATTAGGTTAAAATATTATTTAACCATCTACACATAAGTTCGATTAGGTTAAAGTATCATTTAACCATTTCCACATAAGTTCGATTATGTTAAAAAGGGGCTTTGTGTAGGCCAAAACTCACAAAGAACTGTACCAAATAACAGAAACCACATCAGTTGTGGACTTTCAAAAGTAGCAACAACTAAAACTTATAGCACATGCAATTAGAAGACATAATCATGATGTTTGATATTCCACACTACTTCAAACAAAAGGTTAGGAAAGAAAGACTGATAACAGTTACAGGAATTAAGAAACTTATTTTCCTGAAAAATTGTTTTAATAGAAAGATTTTTATAAATTTCAACCGAAAGCAGTACTGGTCACTCAGTCACTGAATACCCAAGGTTTCCTTACCATTACTATTACCAATCTTGCATCATTGAAATGACTAAATCATTGAGAAATTTCTTTGTTATGCGCATAATGTTGGATTATTTCACCATTTAACATTTTTTACCTCGAGTAAAGGTAACAAATCCGTTGGTATTTAAAAATAAATACTGTTCAGTCTGAAGTCGGGCGACCGGCTAACCGGCTGATCGGTTGAACTCTCTGCCTTCGGGCGGGGAGGAACCCGAACGGGGCTATGCCGAAGGGCGGAGTCTCTTTCGGGGAGGTAAATCGACCCTGAACCCGTTTATACGGGTTCAAAGGGCATATTTTTGGCAGAGCCCACGGGCTCGGAGATCCCACGTTAAACCGGCCTTGTGCCACATGATGCCCTCGTGGGGTGGGGGTGACTAAATACTGTTCAGTCTGAAGTCTAGAGTGAAGTCCGTCAGGAGTCTGTCAGTCAGTCAGAGCAAGTCAGTCAGTCAGACCGAAACAGAGTCGCGTTCAGACAATTACTACTAAAACTACTTTTCTACCTCTCTGTATATATTCCTGTTTGTAATATATCTGTGTTATTCCATATCCGTATTCGATTTCATCTTTATTGGTTCTACCTTGGACTATTACCGTGGTACAAGGAACCGGACCATAACATTATCAGAGAACAAATAATTCATATAAATAAAATCCCAAATCACCTCAAGTGGGAGATGAAGATACCTGTCGTCTGTCTTATCAACCCCAGTGTGCACCGAGTTCGTGTCAGAAATAGAAATTTAACTGTGAAAGCTAAAAAAAAAAAAAAATCAGTCGGAAAATACAGAATTTATCCACTTCCATGTTTCAGTCAGACGAAAGGCACGGGAGAGGTCAAGGAAGAGCGGAAGATATTTGCCTTAAAGGGAACAAGTTTTATAAAATTAAACCCGAATATTAACCTTATGGCATTAATAATCAATCAATTAATTAATGTCATAAGGTTTAATATTAACCTTATGACATTAATTATTGCTTGCAGGAGGGGAGGGAAAAAAAGAAATTGTATTGATAGCCTTTATCCGGGTTCATATCACTTCTATTATAAATAAGATAGTTGGTGTGCGCCATAAAACCGTCCGCTAAGCCATCTGATGAGATCATAAGATCGAACCCCGAGTCGGAATGGTACTGTTCGATATTTCAATATCTGTCTATATTTCTGAGATGTACACTATTTTCGGTCGTTGTATGCTTTGGGATAATTTAGGTGGTTGGAATGAACTGAACCCTTTATTTCGCTCACAGGGGTAGACTGTTCTAGTTCCATGTTTAATGGATGTCAGTTATCAGTTATCTCCTCTTAATTCCCATCTCCAACTCACACTCTTTGGGTCCTGTCACTGGATCTAACCAACGCCTTTATCCACTGTGGCATGTGTCCTTGAAATTATCTGTGTATGAATTTCTGGGTATTATAAACCTAATAATGTCTTCAGCTCCATTTTATCGGTGCTCATATTGCAATTTTTTTGCTGTTATCATTGCATATTTTAACCAGAGCTCATATTGCAATTTTTGTTGTTATTATCGCTTTTGCTCTGTCACTCCTTATTACTTGTTCCCATATTGTATTCATTTCTATGCTTGGTCGGCTCAGGAGATTTTTGTGGCCTAGCATATGTGCTGATTCCTTAAGTGTACGAATTTTCCAATGGTGTTCTTTGTCTATGATCTCAACCTGATCCCACAGAGGGCGGTGATCTCCCTTTCCTCTCCATATGTGGTCAGCCACGCCTGATTTTTCCACTTTCCCCCGTGTTACAGCTTTTTGGTGATCTTGAAGCCTTACCTTGAGGCCTGTCTCCCCTTTATATTTCTTTCCGCAGCTGCATGGGATACCAAATTTATTGTGTAGCTATGTTTGCCCCCGGCTTCCTTATTGGGTGTTCAGCATTGAGCACTTTTACTTGTGCTTTTTTAGGCGTGGCCTCCTTACTGCCTATTTTTGCAAATATTTATTCATTTATTTACTTGCAATTATTTACACCTCTTAGGCGTGGCCGATTTGAAGACTTCTTTTAAGAAGTTTTGGTATTACACACACACACGCGCACACGCACTCACACACACACACACATATATATATATATAATGATAAAAATAAAATGATGCCTAAATAGTAGCGTGCACATTGTGCATATATCTATGTTTCGTTGTCTAGAACAGAGCCACAATAAGATTGCACTCATTGACGACGATTTGACCAAAGGTGACCTGCCATATTAGATTCGTAAATATCGCTCTACAGCAGGTGTTTAAAGAAGAGAAAGAGAAAGAGAATGAGAAAAACGATATTGTGAGACAGACTCAGAACAAAATATATATATATATATATATATATATATATATATATATATATAGAGAGAGAGAGAGAGAGAGAGAGAGAGAATAAAAGTAGCACTTGAAAAGAAAAGTAAAAAGAAAAGAAAGCTACTTATTTAAAATACACTGGAATATATATATATATATATATATATATATATATATATATATATATATATATATATATATATATATATAAGTTCATTTTCTAAATCGA